AGCCTGGTTCAGGTTGCTTTGATGAAAATTCAGCCGGTTATGAGAAAGAGGAGTGGAGGGGCCTGTTCTAGCAGAGGTTTAGGGGAGCAGATAGAGGGGGACCTTACATCGTCTTTGGTAAACTGTAGGCATGTCCCTGTTGGGTGCGCTCTATGTATCCAGTAAGTAATGAAGAAATGAAAAATATATTGAACAGAAGTGGTTAAATAAAGAAAATAAGAAAAGCTGGTTGTCCTTACCATACTATTCGCAACAGCATCATCCTCCTCCTCCTCATAACACTCCTGTAGCATAGAAAGAGAACAACTTCCAGTATATTTATTTTCTTATTTATAAAATTATTTATAAAAAATATACTGAAACATTTCCAGGATTTATACAGAAAATCCCAAAATCCTGATTATGTTGCTGTGAGAACAGCAGCTCCAGAGCCGGATTATTTAAACAGGGCAGAAATGATTGTAAACCTGACGGATGACAAAGACGACTCCATCTCTGTTCGCTTGAGGGAGAAAATCCATCCAGGAAAAAGATCTGGGATCTTCTTTTTTAACTAATCTGGGACTTGCAGAATTAGTTGGGTATTTTTGTCTGGTTTTGTAATGTTAATGAGCTGCTTCCTGGTGTAAAAAACACATTCCTGTAGTTACCCATCACAGCAAATGTCCAAATATGGATCGGCATACATATTTTCAGTTGTACAGTGTTAGGTTTATTCAATGATGATTATTAAAGTAATGTGTGTTCATATGAAACATTGTAGAAATGAGATGCTCCACTCCTGTCTCATGATTCAGTCAGGAGACCATCCTGCCTTGTCATTCTAGTGGAGCATCCTGTTTTTATGAACTGATCAATTGTTCTGTCAGAACAATACTCTGTTTGTAACCATGTGTCGTGTTCTGTTAATAAAATACTCTGCGGAGGAGGTCCGGTGGGAGACAGTGTGTTTGAGTCTGGGGTTTAACTGTCTCTCCTTCTGCAGAAGCCGTATGAAAAGCCCTTACTGCGTATTTCAGTTCTTCCTTTTACAAAACCTACATTTTTGAACAAAACATACAGCATCAAAGATCAATCGTAAAATGTTAGAATAATTGTATATACACATATCTGTGTAGTGTTATAATGCATAAAGCTGTGTGCTATGTGTTCATAGCCATCTTTTCTGAAGTATACTGTGATTTGTAGATTTGCTTTCGGGGAGGTTGTGGTTGATTTACGAGCAGCACTCAACCTGCTGAACTCTGGTGAACAGCTTCAACAGCTTTAACTTTGACTGAACCCTGAGATTTAGAGGACATGTTTACTGAGACTGCGAGTCTGAGTTCCTTATCTTGTTTCCCCCCCAGTGTAGTCTCAGCTGTTGTAACCAGGGACCACCGATTTCAATAAATAGTGAGGAGAACGCTGGGACCGCAGAGTGGGTCGGAGATTTGTAAACTCTGCAGTCTCGTCCTGCTCTCCTCGTGAGTATAACTAAATTAATTGTCTCTGTGCCTTCTTTCTTTCCCTGCATGTATGTATGATGTTTAAGATGATAAGAAAAGAAACTTTGATCCACAAACGGATGAAGTGACGTTACTTTACCAGCGATATCAGCACCAAGCTAGCAAAGGTAATTCAATGTGAAGCCACCCTGACATGTGTTTTGTGTGTCCCATCACATCAGCTGTAGAATTAACACCCCATTACAGAAACTCACTTCATACAAATGGTAAAGTATGGTGGCGGTAGTGTGATACTATGGGGCTATTTGGTGTTCCACGACCTAGAACTTGCTGTTATGGAACTAAGAATTCTGATATTTACCAAATGATCCTAAATGACAGAGTCGGGTCATTCATCAGTGACCTCAAACTGCAGCAAACTTAGGTTCTGAAGTAGGACAATGATCCAAAACACACCAGCAAGTTGACCTCTGAAAGGCTAAAGAGAAGCAAAACTAAGAATTTGCAGTGGCCTAGTCAAAGTCCTGGCCTGAATCCTACTGAGATGCTGCAGTAGAACCCTAAAGGTGAGTACTGGAGAGGAATAACCCACCGGAACGATAGCCTGGTGAGACCATCCTGATCTTGCGAGCTTTCAAGGTTTCACTCGCTAATCAGTCTGGAGACTCTCCGTTAAAGAAAATTTGGAGCCATTCACCAAACGAACGTCCAATCAGCGTTGGCTTTGAGGCGGGTTGAGGTGTGACGCAACGAGAAGCGCGACAGTTCAGTCTAAAGAACATGGCGGCTTCAGCCGATGAAACTAGCGTTAGCGTGGCTATCGAGCAAGTTTTATCGGAATTACAGAGTATTTCTTCACTGAAAGAAGAGCAAAACACTGCTCTGGAGGCTTTTCTCAGAGGAAAAGATGTTTTTGCTCTCCTCCCGACTGGTTTCGGCAAGAGTTTGATCTATCAATTGGCTCCTCTTCGTCGTCGCTCTGTTAGTACGTCATATGCTTCGTTGATCTGATTGGTTTATTTGGCCCGTCTATCACCAACATAGGCCAATAAGCTAACCAGTATTTTCGCCCCTTCCCAAAATTACTTCAACGGAAGGTTTCCAGATGGATATGCGGAGCAAATCCAGCTGGCGGAGTCAGGTTACCGGAACGATGCTTTCCCTGTTCAATTACAGCTCTCAACTACTCTGGGGTTCCTGGCAACCCTTACCCCCAGATTCCACATCCTCCGTCAGCGCTCCGCTCACGTACGTCGTACCTGTCTGTCATGTTAATCAATGAAAGCTGTTCCACATCCACCGCTACTCCTCCACACCTCACCGTCGATGTACGTCTTCACTGTCCGTCGCCGTCAAAATACAGAGCCGAGCTATTTTTTGCTCTGCTCCGGTCCGGCAAGGTCAGGATCCACAATTGCATCAAACAGAAAAAAAAAAAATGTTGAGAAGATCCTTATTCTTTTATATCCTCCATTCTTATATATTCCCAAAAACTAAGACCGTTTAATTAAATGATTGGAGGCAAACTATTGGTACTTAAACATACCAGGAAGCAGATTTCTCATCTTGATCAAAATACTTATTTTACACCGTGAGGCTTAAAAGTTTAATCATATCCAGTCACAACAACTTCCAAGAGCGCATCTGACAACTTCAAAACAAACTTCTTATCGCAGGCAGGGATGAAGACATGCTGAGTGTGGAAGCAGAGAACATCCAATACATCATCCAAAGATAAAGATCCACAACAAAAAGAAAATATTTGGGCAGAAACTGCACATATGCTGGATGCTGATGGGGATTTTTTTTAATATTTCATATTATCGTTCCGCATGTTTTGCTCCTATGAATTTAATAATAATAATATTGTGCATGCCCTCCTCGAGGAAGACGGTGGGAACTGCAGAGGCTGTAGGCCAGGCATCCACTAAGTCGGTCCTGGAGGTTCTGCTGTCCTGCAGGTTTTATAGGTTTCTCTGCTTTAGCACAGCTGATTCTGTTGATTGCAATTCAGCAAAAGCCTTTAATCAACTATAATGTAAAGGGGGGTGGCTGCAGAGGATGTGGGACTTCGGTGCTACAGCTCAGATTATCTCACAGGTGTGACCTTGAACACAAACTAGGAGTAGCTGTGAAATATGAGAAAAATGTTTATGTTGGTAAGCAGATTTATAAACCTCAACCTTGCTTGCCTTCTGCTTATTTTGGGTTGGGTACGTATACACATTTATATTCAGCCAGTTATGAGAAAGAGGAGTGGAGGGGCCTGTTCTAGTAGAGGGACAGGGGAGCATATAGAGGGGGACCTTACATCGTCTTTGGTAAACTGTAGGCATGTACCTGTTGGTACGCTCTATGTATCCAGTAATTAATTAAGAAATTAAAAATATATTGAACAGAAGTGGTTAAAATACAGGAAATAAGAAAACTTGATCCTCCTTACCTCTCGAGACTCATCCATCTCCTTCTCCCCCATAGAACCCACCTGTAACAAAGAAAGAGAACTTCCAGTATTTCAAATTTCCTATTTATGACCATTTTTAAAGGAAATATGATATTTTCTTATAATTATAAATATTGTAACATTTCTAGGATTTATCCAGAAAATTTAAAGATCCTGATTATCACCACCACAAAGATCTTGAGTAGAAATGTAATTTTTAGTCATTCTCCTTATTTCAGTGGTCAGATTCTGGGCTCCTAAAGTGGATCGTATGGTTTTATTCTATCAACACTCTCACCTCAGTGGAAGATCTACAGCGAGCCTGTAAATAAAACAAAGAGCATCTACGGTAAGTCTCAGTGTCATTATTTTATCTGCTGGTTCAACATTGGTTCTGCTGCAGCTAATGAACAGAACACCTATAAAACTAATTTAAACCCATAGTTCATCATTCAAAAGAGAGCTGTTCGTATTATAAATAAAGCACATTATAGAGAGCATACAAACCAACTTTTTTTTTTACATTTAAAAACATAAAAAATGAAAGATTTGGTTGACTCTAAGACTGCTCAATTTATGTAAAAAGTAAAAAATAATTAGTTGCCAGTATTCAGGGTCTGTTTTTGATCAGGGACAGTTCTTATGATCTCAGAGGGAATAAAATGTTCAGAAAACCAAAAGCAAGAACAAATGTAAAACAACATTGTATTTCTGTTGTTGGGGTTGATTTATGGAACAAATTAGATCAGGAGCTAAAAGATTGTACATTAGCAAGGTTTAAAAACATATATAAGAATAATAAGATAAACAATTATGAAACATGTGAATGCAATAAGAGCAGTAAGATATTGGGTGCTTAACCTTTTTTGTTTTTTTCCCTCTTTTTTCCTAAAAGAAAGAAAAAAAAGAATTTATTATTGTAGAATAATAATCATACGTTGGTATGTATTATAAACGGTAGCCATCCATCTATTTATCTTGTTTCTTTTGCTTTCTAGTCCAATGTAAATTGGCTTTGGAGGGCGGGCATTAAGCTTCTTGCTTCTGCCAATACACCCTTTTTCAAACTGTTTTAATTTATGTTATATGGACATATACTGTATTTATAATATACTTGTATGTCTGAAATAAACAAACTTCACACCTCATCGCTGTCTTCAGATGTGTCTGACTGAAAAACAAGCAGAAAGAAGCGTCATGATCCCTTCCACCCAACGCCCCGCTAGCTGCTATTGCTGGGCAGGGATTAGGCTAAACTAGGCAGTTTCCTTGGGCCCCAGTTTCTGGGGCCCATAAAACTCATTTTACATGTATGGTTAATACAAACGTTACTTATTTGTGCACATTAGTTATATTTTTAACAAAAAATGTCATCAGAAAGCCCCCCCACCCCCTTCAGTGTCCACCATATTGGATCAGTCCATTTGCTGTACATGTTCAGAAAGGTCCAAACAGACAGCAGCAAACCATTTGAAAACAAACCATGCAAAGAGCAGTGTTGCCAACTTAGCGCTTTAGTCGCTATATTTAGCCACTTTTCAGACCCCTCTAAAACTTTGATTTCTAAAAAGCGCCTAGCTTTTTTAACCTCTTAACATCCACCTCATTATGGGTAATCCTTGCCTATTTCGCATACCCAAAAGGAAACGAAAAAACATAGGAACTGTAAGCCCAAATTGCACATGCAATACATTATTTGAAAGCTAACAGCTAAAATTGGTTGACTAGAACACAGACCAACCTGCATCAGTTCAAACATGACTCAAAGTGGTTGATTTTTATTCTCGAAATGATAGGTCTTTTTTGAACAGCAGTTCAGCGTTGGCTTTGAGGCGGGTTGAGGTGTGACGCAACGAGAAGCGCGACAGTTCAGTCTAAAGAACATGGCGGCTTCAGCCGATGAAACTAGCGTTAGCGTGGCTATCGAGCAAGTTTTATCAGAATTACAGAGTATTTCTTCACTGAAAGAAGAGAGAAACACTGCTCTGGAGGCTTTTCTCAGAGGAAAAGATGTTTTTGCTCTTCTCCCAACATAGGCCAATCAGCTAACCAGTATTTTCGCCCCTTCCCAAAATTACTTCTACGGAAGGTTTCCAGATGGATATGCAGAACAAATCCATCTGGCGGAGTCAGGTTAGTGTTCTACATCATGCCAACCATAAATTGAAAAAAATGTCAGACCTCTAGCTATAACAGTTCCAGAGCTGTACAGAACTTTTTGCATCAGCTTGGAGCTGCGCGCATTAGCTCCACCTGCTGGTAAAAATTTTAACTGGTGGAATTTTATGCATTTTTTAGTTATTACCCCCACTTAGGGTCCACCGGGTTGCCGGCGACCGGGTGGGTTCTAAGAGGTTAAAATCTAATTTCTCGAAAGAGAACAAGATCCAGTGTTTTAAACAATCTGTTTTCCTTTATAAAAACTTCCTGAAACAATTTCTGAATTTATCCAGAAAATCCAAAGATCCTGATTGTGTTTCTGTGGGAACAGCGGCTCCAGGGGCTGAGAAATTAGAGAATATATGCTGTCTGTATACATGTGGGTACAGTAAGTATTCCAGTAGGTATTAACATAGCTACAGCCTGACTTTGATTTGATTAAACTGTAAGTACTAAACAAGAACACCACAGTTAATAAGTAAACAACCACCTTGGTACATTAACCCAGGAAATGACTGAAAAATAAATAATACACTAAAAGGAAGTGGCTAATAAACAAGAGTGAAGAAAACTTGTTCCTCCTTACCGAATCTGTCTGCGCCATAGCGCCAGTTCTTTTATAGCCAAGATCAATGGAATTCGCATACATCTGTAAAAGAATATTCAAGTTCAGGTTTCTTAAACAAAAATAATTTCTCTATAAAATATCTTGTAACAAGTCAGAGAATCTATCCATAAAATCCAAAGATCCTGGTTATGTTGCTGTGAGAAATGAAGCGGGGCTCATTGTTTTAGAACAGATGGCAAAATATGTGAAGATAAAGACGACAGTTTCCGTTTACTGAAAGTAGATCATCACCATCACAAAGATCTCGACTAGAAATGTTATTTTCAGTCACTCTCCGTGTTCCAGTGGTCAGATTCTGGGGTCCTGAAGTCGATCTTAGGATTTTAAAAGATCCACCTGGATAAATGAAATCTTTGTACATTATCTGACTGTCCACCTCGCTCAACACATCTATGTCTGACAGGGTTTGACAGATATATAGATATGTTGGTTAATGCTGCTCTGCAACATTGCGTGGACATCAGGGCCAGTTCCCCTGGATTGGCAGACCGGGGTGGTGGTCCCTCTATTTAAAAAAGGGGACCAGATGGAGTGTTGCAACTACAGAGGAATCCCACTCTTAAGCCTCCCTGGTAAGGTCTATTCCGGGGTTCTGGAAAGGAGGGTCCGTCGAATAGTCGAATCTGGGATTCAGGAGGAGCAGTGTGGTTTTCGTTCTGGCCGTGGAACACTGGATCAGCTCTATACCCTCAGCAGGATCCTGGAGGGGGCATGGGAGTTTGACCAACCACTCTACATTTGTTTTGTGGATCTAGAGAAGGCATTCAACCGTGTCCCTCAGCGGGTCGTGTGGGGGGTACTCCCGGGAGTATGGAGTACAGGTGTCAGAGCCTGGTCCGCATTGCTGGCAGTAAGTCGGACTCGTTTCCGGTGAGGGTTGGACTCCACCAAGGTTGCTGTGAAGCGGGCCCTGTACCGACCGGTCTGTGGTGGTGAAGAGGGAGCTTAGCCAAAAAGCAAAGCTCTCGATTTACCGGTCGATCTACGTTCCTACCCTCATCTATGGTCATGAGCTTTGGGTCATGACCGAAAGAATGAGATCCCGGATACAAACGGCTGAAATGAGTTTTCTCCATAGTGTGTCTGGGCTCTCCCTTAGAGATAGGGTGAGGAGCTCAGTCATCCGGGGAGGACTCAGAGTAGAGCCGCTGCTCCTCCACATTGAGAGGAGCCAGTTGATGTGGCTTGGGCATCTGGTTAGGATGCCTCCTGGACGTCTCCCTGGTGAGGTGTTCCAGGCACGTCCCACCGGGAGGAGGCCCAGGGGGAGACCCAGGACACACTGGAGGGATGTTTCTCAGCTGGCCTGGGAGCGCCTTGGGATTCCCCCGGAGGAGCTGGACCAGGTGGCAGGGGAGAGGGACGTCTGGGCCTCCCTACTGAAGCTGCTACCCCCGCAATCCAACCCCGGAGAATGGATGGATGGATGGATGGATGGATGGATGGATGGATGGATGGATGGATGGATGGATGGATGGATGGATGGATGGATGGATGGATGGAAATGTTGGGACTTTCTTTGTAATCAACTGAGGAATAAATGATCTACCCAAAAGAAGTGACTAAAAAATAACAGTGAAGAAAACTTGTTCCTTCTTACCGATTTCTTCTTCATGGTAGTAGTTTCTGCAGGGTCATCATCAAAGAGGCCAAAGCCCATCTGTAAAAGAATATTCAAATTCAGGTTTTGTAAGCAAAAATGACTGCTCTATAAATATCTTGAAACAACTCTAAGAATTTATCCTGAAAATTTATGGGTTGCCGTTAAGTTAAGCAGTCAAAAATATTTATGGTTATTTAGCGTTTTGTTTTTTTAGGAGAAAAATAAAAAAGTTTTTTTTCCCCAGGTCATTTTTTCACCATGTCATTCATTCATTTATAAAAATCTTACTTTGTTAAGTAAATATTAAGTTTGGAGCTAAATATTTAGCTTGCAAAATAAATATTTAGTTTGTTAAATAAATATTGAGCTACAAATTAAATATTTATTTAACAAACTAAATATTAACCCTATAATGCCAAATGTATCGTATTTGATACATACGGTTTCTGAAATGTTTTGCGTCTGACACCTTTTGCATAATTTAATGGTAAAAACTTTGCTAAAAATCCTATTGTACACAGTCAGATATACCTGATAACAGAGTGCAGAAGACTACACAAAAAATAATCTTGACTTATCGCATAGTAATAAATTATTAGTATCAAAAAGGTATTTCTGTTTTTTCTTTTTACATATTTAGTAAAAGGCCAAAAAGGGACATCAAACCAAAAAAAATTAATTTTCTGTTTTGTTTTATTCTTGGATCGGGCTTTAAAGGGTTAAGCTAGCACCAAGCTAGCTAAAAATTTAGCTAATATGCATTTTCACTTGTGGAAAAGCGGAAGTGAACTACCAAAGTAAGAGCCTGGGAATCTCTGTACAACTCCTACGGTTTAAGGCGAGTGACTGATTTCTGTTTAATCACTTTGTCGTTGTTTGAATCCCAAACCAGCCCTCTAAGCACTAACCCTTAACTATCGAGTATCACTAACTATTAAGTCTCATTAGCAGCTGTAGAAGCTGCCTGGATGAATGCAGGGGTGGGGAAGGGAAAGCAGTCGTTGCTATGGCAAAACAGTGACGCCCATGTGCAGTTGTAGCGCAGGTTTACATAAGATTAAACATTTTCCCATTTCCTAAAACAAATGTATACGGTGAAATGAAGCTATTCAAAGAGGACAGTCAGTTTTGGAATTAATTACGTTTCTTTCATAAACTAATTTTTGATTTTTTGTTAGTGGGACCGAGAAGCAGTAGGAGTTCTCAGGCTTTTACTTTGGTAGGTCACTTCCTCTTTCGCAAAGTTTGCATATTAGCTAAATATTCGGCTTGCTTGGTGCTAGCTAACTATTATGGTATGTTAAGTATGTTAAATACATTTTTTATTTAGAGCTAAATATTTATTTTCATAAACTAAATACTAAATCTAGAGCTAAATATTATATTTACCTAAATATGCAAACTAAGCATTTATTAAGGAAAGTAAGATTTTTAAAAATGAATGAATGACATGGAAAAAAATAAACCCCTTATTTTTCTTTTTAAACATGCTAAATTTTCATAAATATCACTCCTAACTTTTGACTGCTTAAATTTACAAACAGCTGCCCATAAAAATCTAAAGATCCTGATTATGTTGCTGTGAGAATAGCGGCTCCAGGGGCCGATAAATGATGAGGAGCTAAAAGATAACAGTGAAGAAAACTTGGTCCTCCTTACGTCATCAACAGATTCATCATCAGATAGCTCCGCCCCCTCCAGCTCCACTTCATCCTCCTCAATAGAATCTATCTGTAAAAAAGAAAGAGAACATTTTGCTTCGCTCATATTCAGAATTTAAACTTCTGAAAGTTCTTTAAATATGAAATGATTCCATCCTGTTCAATAAATGATCAGTGTTTTTAATTCAGAGTAATTTTCATGTGAATGTGCTTTACTGGAGGCATCCATGTTTGTCAAAGAACACTACTGCCACCTACTGGTTAGTGACGTCACGGTGCGGTATCGGCTGTTGATCAAGTCCCAGTGCTGTATCTGGTGTTTGTCACAACGCGCTATTATCCAAGTCATCTTGAAAACATTCTTCTTCCAAATGTTGGCTACATATTACGGGTTTTTTCTCTGGCCAGAAGTTCGATGGCAAATCCTCCCTCTTCAAGTTGGCGATCCAACGACCAACCCGTCCGTGGAGGATCAGGAACCAGAAAGGTGGAATAACTCTTTTTTTTTTCACTTTTACCCGATGTATTCCAGCATCCAGCTGCCATGCACGTGGGCATTGTCAGTTTCACTATAGCTCTGGTGAATTTCAATGGTGAAGTCCTCTGGAAATCTTCAATAATTGTTGTTGATTGCAGATGTGTCAAGTAGTTCCCATTGATTTAGCTTGGAAAGCGGGGAGGATGGCGCTAGGCTTACCGCACCGTGACGTCACTGCTGGAAGACGGCAGGAGGGAGGGGCTACTATATTTGGGAAAAAATGGCCGCTCACGAACTTTATTTATTATCGTTTTTAATCTTTTACCGATCAATGCTAAATAAATTAAATCACCGCTAATGATCCAATGATTTTTCCTTGCTGACCGGACTTCTCCTTTAATCAAACTGTTCTTCCTGGTCGCCTCGGGGAGGCCCAGGACACGCTGGAGGGACTATGTCTCTGAGCTGGCCTGGTGTCGCCTCGGGGTCCCAAGCAGAGCAGCTGGAGGAGGTGTGCATGGATCAGGAAGTCTGGGCATCTTTGCTTAGACTGCTGTCTTCGTGACTCGGCCCCGAATAAAGAGGAAAAAAATGGATGGATGGACAAACTGTTCTTCTGTATAAAAAAATAAAGGTTCTTCCATCTTTATTCTGGTGAAGATTCTCAGTCATCCAGGTCATTGTCATTCCTAAAAAGGTTAAAAAAACAAAGCAATCCACTGGACTTTGTTTCCAAGTTTAAAGACGTTTCTCTTCCCATCCAGGAAGCTTTTTCAATACTCAACACTAATTCTGACATTTTGAATTGAAAAAGCTTCCTGGATGGGAAGCGAAACGTCTTCAAACTTGGAAAAAAAGTCCAGTAGATTGTTTTTTACTTTTCATTTTTTGGAATTCCTCTATCTTTAACTGTTTAACACTTGGGAAAAAAAGAAGCTGAACAGGAGTGAAGAGCTAAGATCAACTAAGAGAGCAACAATGAATGCTTCTCCAAGTCTGTTTGAGTGGATCTTATGGCTTCATGAAAGAAAACAGAGGAATTTGCGCTTTGTCTCAAACTCTAACGACCTCTTTTTGACTTTTAATGGTCGTAAATCATCAAATTCCTGCAGCAGCAACAACAAGAACTGATTCTTACTTTATGAAAATAGCAGGAAAAATTAAATATAAAGTAAGATTTCTCCAATGCCGTTATATCTGAATGAAAACATGTGTCCCTCAGTGATTAGGACCAGTTAGAAAATAAAAACTAACTTCCTAACACTGACATCCAGTTTAATTCAGTTTATTTATAAGCGTGTCAGCACCCTGCATTGTCTCTACCTCAGCTGTTTGTTTCTCCTGAGGAAGAGTCCAGCTGATGTAGGGCAAGAAGTCTACATCCTCGTCTGCGATCAGCTTGGGGACGTCCGTGACGCCATCCTCTGCTTTCTCCGAATCCTAAAACAAGGAACGCAATAGAAGCTGGTTTGATTTTGGTAAAAAAAACAGCAAACGTGTGATGAAAAAGCAAACTGACCCGCTCTTCAATGGCGACAAAGCTGGTGAACTGAGACAGAATGGAGTACTCTTTGCTTAGATCGATAATGAAGGACTTCAGCTCGGCTTTTTTACCCTAAAAGCACAGAAGCAGCAGTGAACCAGTGAAGCTCAGCTGCTATCTGAGGACAGAGTTAATAAACCAACATGTTGTACCTCATGTTCAGCCTCGGTGGCGTCCAGGCTTCCGTCCTCATAGTCTCTGATCAGCGCTCTGGCAGTGAGCTTATGAAGAAACTGAACACATCAAATCAACAACTGAGCTTCTGGTTCTTTGATTATGTGTTAATATGTTTATAGAGAGGGAAGAAAATGGGCCGTACGGTTCCTCTGGTCTTCTGCAGCTCTGTTGTTGAGACCATGGTTCTAAGCTCCTGACCACGTACATCTCCAAGTAGAGTCGCCTACATGAAAGAAAAAATATAAATGTTGAAACAGTAAGGAAATAAAACGGGTTAAGAGTTCTCAATAACCCAACACAGCATCTGGGGTCTAAACTTTGACTAGGCCAGTGGAAAACCTTCATACTTTTTTTATTTCAACCATTGTGATCTAGATTTGCTGTTCCGGGACGTTTTCCTGCTGATCTTCTAACTTCTAGATGTATCTCTTATCTGAAACACCTGAATCACGAGGCTGAATTTCTCCACAACAATGCCTGATCATGATGTTAGGCGTTTGGGAGGCAGATCTTTTAGTTATCAGGCTCCTCTCCTGTGGAACCAACTACCAGTTTTAGTCCGTGAGGCAGACACCCTGTCTGCTTTTAAGGCTAGGCTTAAAACTTTCCTTTTTGATAAAGCTTCTAGTTAGAGTGGCTCAGGTTATCCTGATCTATCTCTATAGTTCTGCTGCTATAGGCTTAGACTGCTGGAGGACATAGGGACCCCTTTTTCATCATTCTATCTCTATTCTCCCACTCTGCAGAATCTGTTAGTTCAATCTCTAACGTTCTGCTCTCTCTGCTCTTTCTCATAGTAGCTTCATCTGGTCTGTTCCTGTTTGGCTGTGACTCCATCCTGGAGAGAAAACTCTAAGCATATTTGTAATTTCTCAGAACATTGCAGAGCGTGACCTTTTAAAAGAAGCAGACGAGCTGTTCTCCGTCCCGCAGCATGACTGATCAAACCAGAGGAAAATCCAGAAGACAAACACCTGAGTACAGTGGGGCACGAAGCCGTAAACCAGCGTGTGGCAGTCGTTGAACAGAGCGTGCAGCTGCTTCGGGGATTGAAGAGGAGGAGGAGCTCTTGAGTTGAACTGCTGCCACTTCACAGAGACGGAGCTGCAGCCGGGAGACAACATGCGCTTCACCTGGTGCTTCACCTGCAGAACATGTCGGGATTCAGAACCACCATGGTCACATGACAGACGCTGAAACTAGTCTTCATAGCGTACGCTTTCCGTGAGGAAACCAGGACTCACCTTCTCAGCCCAGGTGTGCTTAGTTTTAGCGTCGAAAAATTCATAAGCCCCGCCCCCTGCTTGAGCCAGGGCTCTCAACATGTGGCGATTGGCTGTGGAGCTGAAACGATAAGGAAACTGACATTTAAACTTGTTTGAATGAAAACCAAACTCTAAACATAACCTGCAGCCATACTGATGGACGAGGAACATGAAATGGAAATAGATCGTCACCTCAGGCCGCAGGTGAAGAGGCGGCTGTGCTTGACGTTGTCTCTGAGCAGCTGCAAGGTGACTGCAGCGTTCTGAATGTGGCCGTCCGACAGCAGCAGCAGGTTACGCACGCCAGAGGACGGCGGCAACAGGCTGAGGGCCTGGAGAGGCCGCCACAGCTCGGTGCCGCCCCCTAGTGGACAAGAGCTCTAATAGTATGCAAGACAGGTGATGATTAGTAAAATACTAAATATTTTTCATTTCAATAAATATTAATTAACTAAAAGTTAAATGTGTAATAAGAAAAACAAAAACATACAAATATCTTGTTTAAAGATCCAGAAAATATTTCTGTTACATTTTTATTAAAGTTTAAATACCTTTTCTTAGTTTTTGGCATAAAGTTATTCTGCAAATTATGGTTGGGGTCAGATGGTTTGGGTAGTTTTAGATCTGGTTTTTATAGGCTGCCTCCCTCACACACATGCACACCCATACTCGTTCTGCTATACGCAGTAAGGACCATGTGTTGACTTCCATTGATTGTCAGTCATTTTCAACCCTTTCTATAGCCTTGTGAGACCATCCTGATCTCGCAAGCTTTCAAGATTTCACTCGCAGATCAGTCTGGCTACTTTCCGTTAAAGAAAATTTGGAGCCGTTCACCAAACGAACGTCCAATCAGCGTTGGCTTTGAGGCGGGTTGAGGTGTGACGCAACGAGAAGCGCCACAGTTCAGTCTAAAGAACATGGCGGCTTCAGCCGATGAAACTAGCGTTAGCGTGGCTATCGAGCAAGTTTTATCGGAATTACAGAGTATTTCTTCACTGAAAGAAGAGCAAAACACTGCTCTGGAGGCTTTTCTCAGAGGAAAAGATGTTTTTGCTCTTCTCCCGACTGGTTTCGGCAAGAGTTAGCCTGGCTTGTGGTTGTGGTTTTGTCGTCGCTCTGTTAGTACGTCATATGCTTCGTTGATCTCATTGGTTTATTTGGCCCGTCTATCAACAACATAGGCCAATCAGCTAACCAGTATTTTCGCCCCTTCCCAAAATTACTTCAACCGAAGGTTTCCAGATGGATATGCGGAGCAAATCCATCTGGCGGAGTCAGGTTACCCCTTCTATGCCCTAACCCTAAAACTGACCCTAAACCTAACCATTACCAATGCATACCTCACCCTAACCCAACTAACACCTTAGCCCCAAACCTAACTATTAATAAAATAGCATTGAGGACCAACAAAGTGTCCTCACTTTACAACAACTGGTCCTCAATTTGATGGTGAAATTGGAAAAATGGTTCTCACTCTGAGGGTTAGACAGTTATACACACACACACACACACACTCAGCTTCAGCAAAACATTTTTTAATGGACTAAAATCAGGGTATTTGTGAAAGTCACTCAGAAACTTTAGCTTAATTGTCCATTTAGGAATCATTTTATTGGTCATATAAATGATCAATGCAATGTTCATACTTCAGCTTTACCAGATTCATTTAAAACTAGCAACGGTCAATATGGCCAATTAGATAAAGTTTTATAATAAGTGGAAATTGGGAATCTTATAGCATGGGTTATTACATTTTCAGCCTTTTCTCCAGATGAAAACCTTGTTAAATGGTCTGAACTCACCTTGATGAACATCTCGGCTTTATCATCAGCTTCAGGAAGTTGCTCAGCCTTTTGGAAAGCTCGCTGGTAAACTGCAGAACAGAGATTTTAGTTCTAGGAATGTAACATGTTTTAGAATACAAGTTCTTGGCATGCAATGTTTAAGTTCTCAGAAAGCAACCTATATGTTCTTAGAAAGTAATCGTTTGACTCTGAGGCAGTGGCGGTTCTAGACCAAATGTACCAGGGGGCCAGGAGGGGGCCAGCGTGTTTTCATGGGGGAACAGAAAAGCATGAAACATAAAACGGGATTCAAATATATTATGATAGCTTCGTGAAGTTAGATTTACATTCAATTACGGTAGGTTTAATTAAAATTCTACGTCTTCCAACTGAAAAAGTTTTTTTTTTTTGTGCTTGAAAATATTCATTAGGATTATCGTTAAAATCAAAATAAAAATTTAAAATAGAAATTAAAAATTAGCATAGCAAAAAAGCAACTCAAAAAATTGTAGCTATTTAAATATTTAAATGATCAAATAAAGCTATTATTTGAAATATTAGGTTAATATACATTCATAATTTAGAGAGTATTTTTTTTTTTATTTGTTTTGAAAAAAAAATTTAGCAGATGAAAACTGGGATCCTTTCTCAATGGTTACCTATCAGTAACCATGTCTGTTCCAGAGTATATAGTTGTTAGAATTTCTTTCAGTATTATGTGTTCAGTACAGGGGGCCAGGACATCATTTAAAGGGGCACTGGCCCCCGTTGGTCCCTGTCTAGAACCGCCCATGCTCTTAGAAAGCAAGTTGTCGGATGTTTTCACTTCCAAAATCTCAGAAATAACCCATTGGTTCCTTTGATGTTACATGTTTGGAATTCTGGGAAAAACAGCCCATTATTATATTTTTCTTACTTAAGTTGAAACAGATTATTTACTAAAGTAACTTTATTTTATTGTAAGGTATCCTGCTAGATAGTAAATTAAATGTGTACATTCTTGTAATGAGGTATGTAAGTATTTGAATTGTGACGAATTAGTTTTTTGGAATGTAACATGTAATTTTTTTAAACTTAACATCTAAGTGCTACAATTGTAAAGTGTGAGTTCCTGGAAAGTAATAAAAAGGTTATTAGAGAGTATAACATAAGTCCTTGGAAAGTAAGCTTTTAGTTCTTGGAAAGAACAATCTAAGTTAATAGGGAGTTACATGTTGGTCGTTAGAATGTAGCCTGTCAATTCTTAAGGTACAACTTAAAAACCCTTGGAAAGGAAGTTGTTGGTTCTTAGAAAGTAATGTCTAAGTTCTTGGAAAGTAAGCCTTTAGTTATTGGTAAGAAAGATGTAAGTTCATAGAGAGTAACATGTTGGTCGTTAGAATGTAGGCTGTAAATGTTTGAGGTACAATTTATAAACCGTGGAAAGGATGTTGTTAGTTCTTAGAAAGTAACGTATAAGTTCTTGGAAAGCACCACATTGGTTCTTGGAAAGTAATCTGTACTTTCTTGGAGTGCGAGATGTACGTTCATGGAACGTAATATGGAAGATCTTGGAATATAACATATAAGCTATTATAAAAGTACTTTCCAAGTTCTTGGAAAATAACGTCTTTTCTCGGAATGCAATTGAATTTTACATGTCAATATTGTCTTTGGCATTACCGAGTTATCATGTGTGATGAAATATGTTATTTTGTCTTTGTTTGTTTTTTCCAAACCAAAAAGTAAAGTTTTGTTTGCTGTTTATCTCTCTGTGTGGGTCCCAAACATTTCATGACTTTGCCCGATGGTTGCTGAAGTGTGTTATCACGCCACCTCTTAGGCTCTTCTTCAGAAAGGCTGAATAAAGTCAGAGACCTCTTGCTTTACTTAGACATTGACTAAAAAAGAAGCAGTTGCTGTCACTGTGCAGATTAGGGCAAATTCCTCTAAGGTTTTCACAGAAATTATCCTCTTTGCAGAGCAGATGCAGTGCATGCAAGCTGGGTGCTTCCTAGAGTGGCATATAATCACTGTTCAATGTAGGACGTTGACGGACAACGACTCTACATGACAGGGAGGGGCTGCTTCTCAGAGCAAAATCACAAGGATTACTCTGAGATGATGAATCAAGAATTTGATGAAGGTGTTGCATCATATCAAAATTAAAAGGTAAACATGTTAATTTTGAATGACATATAGACCATTTAACAAAACTCCTTTACCAAAGTGAAATATTTAGTCAGCTAAACAAGTTCAGCTTCTGTTCTGTTTTTATTCCCATCAAAACCAACCTGTTCCAAACAAAAAAATGTTGATTCTGACGTTGTCCTTCAGATTCTTTAACACCTGCAGGGCGATTTCCTTGGCCAAATGGAAAGACTTGTCCCTCATGGACTCAGATGAATCCAGCAAAATGACTACTTCACTGACTCCAGAACTGTAGTCAACCTGAAAGTCTGGGTAGAAAACCAGCATGCAGGCCTGTAGCAGATAACAAAGTTTGTTTACTTGTCTTATATTGTTGGCCTTGTACAGGATGATTCAAAGTTAAATGTGGAATGTCTCAGGGTTCAGAACTGGGACTCTTTTTATATCCATAAAAGGATCAAACAGACCTGGCTGTCTTTGTCAGGATGTTTCTCCACCCACATTCTGGGAAGATGAACCTCAGAGAGAGAAACCGAGAGCTGGAAACCATCCGGACCCATGAGCTGACCTGGCATCACACTGACCACTGCCTGACACTGAGTCCTCTGCATGACCCAATACAAACAAAAGAATAAAACAGGAAGGGTTCACAATGAAGACTGAATAAAAAAATTAAATAAAGCACATGGAAATGAGAAGGTCTATCAGGAAAAGTCAGTAAATATAACCTAAAATGAAGCTAGTGAAGCATAACCTGCAGGAGGCTATGCAACAATATGCAGACGATATAGTTATTTTTATCAGCGTAGGAAAAACCCACCTTGATTTTGACTTGGTGGGTGATGCAGGTCAGACTAGAGATCTCGTTGGGCATCTCCACCGACATGTCCAAGGTGAACTCTCTGACGACCAGAAAGAACAACACGTTGTCCATATTAGCGCATTAATTTGATCAAACACAACCAACAGCTGAAGAACTGCTGCACAGATTTTATTCTATTTATTTAACCTTTATTTTACCAGGAAGTCCCTTGAGATAAAATCTCTTTTTCGAGGGAGACCTGGCTAATGACTTTTTTTTATTCTGCCCCAGATTCCACATCCTCCGTCAGCGCTCCGTCCCGCTAACGTACGTCATGCGGAGGACTTGTCGCTCATGTTAATCAATGAGAACTGTTCCACATCCACCGCTTCTCCTCTGTACGTCACCGTCCACGTACGTCTTCTCCGCCCGTCGCCCTCAAAATACGGTGCCGTGCTATTTTTTGCTCTGCTCTGGTCCGGCCAGGTCAGGATCCGTAATTGCAATCGCAACAAACAGGAAAAAGAACGGCGGGAAGATCCGGTTTACCTAATTAAAATACGGGAACGACAGAACGTTAACTACAAATTAGAGCAAAATTCCTATATATTCCCCAAAACTAAGATCATTTAATTAAATGGTTGGATGCAAACTATTGGTACTTAAACATACAAATATTAATTTTATACTGAGAGGCATAAAAGTATAATCAAATTCAGTCACAACAACATCCAAGAGCGCAAACTTCTTACCGCAGGCATGGATGAAGAGATGCAGAGTTTGGAAGTAGAGAATAACCATAGTTCATACAAACCATGTATGATCCTAGTTATCCCCGTTACAAAAATATACAACGAAAAGAAAATATTTGGGCAGAAACTGAACCTATGCTGGATGATGATGGAGATTTTTTTAATATGTCATATTAAATTACCGTATTTTCACGACTATAAGGCGCATATAAACGTCTTTTTTTTACCCTCAAAATGCGCGGCACGCTCTTTGGTGCGGTGCGCCCTATGTGTGTTGATTACAAGCGTTCATTACAGCATTTTTGCTCATTTGAATTTAATATTAATATCGCACATGCTTTCCTCGAGCTCCGAGGAGGTTGGAGTGGAGTAAGACGGGAGGAACAGCGGAGGCTGTAGGCTTTCCTTTGCGCAGGCGGTCTGGAGCGCAGCCGAGCGGAACGGATCGGGGCGGAACGGATCGGGGCGGAACGGATCGGGGCGGAACGGATCGGGGCGGAACGGATCGGGGCGGTAACAGATGATGTGGGATTTCGGGGTCAGGATCTCATGAATTAAAAACAAGAAAACAGGAATTTTCAGTCTCACCTTGACGCTTCATCAGTGACACAAACCTTCTGCACGGAAACCTTTGGGTTAGAAAACACACATAATTATTTTTTTTTTTTTTATCTGAAGGCAAGAAAGCAAAAACATGCTTTTCTCAACATAAAACATTCTCTATACTCAACATTTTAAATTAAAACTATTCATGATTTAAACATTGAAATGATAAAACCAACTGATTGTAATAAAGAAATCCCATTTATACTAAAGCAGTTTAAACCCTTTTTAACAGCCCTTCGTAATATAAGAAAAGGTAATTAATTAAAATGGATATTATTATTATTACAAGCCATGAATAATTTTTTAAGGTTGAACAGCTTATCAAGACCATAGAAATTTATTTTAGATGTTGAAGAAAACCAAGGTCAAGAAAACCTTTTTGTGCGTCTGAGAAAAGAATAAAATCACAAACTAGTTCATTTTAAAAATTCAAAAATCTGCTACATTTTTTTTTTATTATTTGCTCTAATAAATGTTTACTGCAATAGTGAATAATTTATCATAGCAGAAAGTGGAGGGTTCTCATAACTTGAGTAAAAAAATAAAGCTTTTGGGAAAAGCACCCCTCCCCCTCCAATTACAGGCTCCGCCCCTTACCTGTGTTGTCTGGTTGAGGGCGGAGCTCTCCTGCCAGGGAGCCACACTCCCCGGCAGGGAGAACAGAATGCTCCCGTCTCGGACCACCAGCTCAGACAGAAAGGTGACTTTGATGAGGACGGTGGCTCCAGGCGGCAGGTTGCCCACGCTGATGGTGAACACGTCCTACAGAGAAAAGACGTCAGAGAGCCGGAGGGAAAAGGTTTGGTGAAAGGATGAGGATGTGGCTGGACATACAGGAGCTTCCTGGTCCATGAGGTACGCTCCGTGGCCTTTGGCTATAGCCTGCTTGTACTCCCTACGAGCCGTCTGCTTCTCCTTCACCTGAGAACAGAAACACACCAACCACCGGGTTCTTCAGCCAGCAACGCCATGACAAATCTTATTCCTGCTGCTCTGCACTCTCTGCTCTGTCCCTGCTTAGCTGTGTCTTGTCTTTCTGAGCTCTCTCTTCATATCACCCGAATTCAAAACTAAACAAAGGGTCTGGTCAGCTGGTCTCAATGCAATTGAGAAATTTTTCTCAACTGGGAGGCAGGAAAAACGGGACTCTTCCTGTCCTGCTGGGACTTACTTCATGGGATACACCATGGAATCCTGGAAGGCTTGGAGGATGCTGTGTTTCACAATGTTGTCAGTGGAGGATATTGAAGTATGTGTGGATTTTTGGATTTATGATACTCGGATTTCTCCTGTTTGGATTTGGATACCTGATGTATCTATAATTACAGAGGATTTCGGCGGCTATTTGGGCATTGATCAGGCTGCGGCAGCGGTTGATGCCCTCAATAAGGCTGTAAACGAGGAGGACCAGGAGATAAGCCGTATACTGGGTGCAATTGAGCGCAGGCTGGCTGCAGTGGTTGAACTCAAAGGTGAGATGGGATAATATCTTTGATGTGTACGCTCGCTTTGAGGCGGAAAAGCCCAACAAATGTTGAATATTGGATTCGCCACGTAGAGCCAGCAAGAAAAGACTCGAGGCTGATGGAAATTCCTGTGCAGCCTGCTCTTAAAACAATAAGTGTTATTTTGGATTTGGCCTTTCTCTTAAAAAGATGAAAATTGAATTTAAATTAAATTTTAGATGGATTGTATTTTCCCCCGTTTATGTTTGCAGCAGCAGCAGCAGCTCCTTATAGCCTATCGTCCTCAAAACAAGAGGATCTTTAAATGTTTGAAGGAAACAGCTATGAAACACTAGCCTGATGTAGTCCTACTCAATTCTAGTCAGAATATGAGTCTGATGCTGCTCCATAGAGCTGTGATTATGGGGCGTGTTTTGAACGAACCAGGAAAAAAAATGCCTCATGAAACACGTTATAATAAAGATAAATGAGACAAAGGTTCTTGGCTTTATGCCGTCTGAATTCATAAATGTTTCAGCTGTTTTCTAGATGAGGTGGAACCTGATTGGAGACGTTTAGTGTTAGAGGGTTACCTGTCCCACCACGTGTTTCCCATTGATAAAAGCTTCAAACCCGCAAACAGCAGCCAAGTCGTCCAATGGGAAGACGTACTTCGCCTCAATGGGGGCGGAGCTGTGATTGGTGTACTTCTGGAAGATGACGACCTGACAGGAGACAAAGCCGGGATGAGATGCAGCGTACGACCAGCGTGACGTCAAAATGAACCAGAAGTCTAGTTTTTAACCTGAGAGAGCAGGTCTATCAGTTTGCACTTCACATTGACGGCCTGCAGGGGGAGCTGCTCTCCTGAGCTGTTCAACAGTCCGGCCGTTACGTCCTCCAGAGGGTTTTTTATCTTTTCCAGATCTTCATAGTTTGATGAAGGGAACATTTGTCTGGGAACGCCTGAAAGCCAAGAGTTTAAATGCCTTTTACTTTCATAGTTACACAGAAATCAAAAACATGAAGGTTAACCCTTTATAGGGCAATCAGAGAAATACTTTGAAAATCAACAAGAGTGTTATTGGAATCCAGCAAAAGACCTGATTAGTAATCAGGTCTTTTGTTAGATTCCAATAACAATTTAAAAAAAAATTAAGGATATTTTGATGGCAAAAATGAATGTCAATGTAATAACAATAAACGCCAACTTCCCAGATATATTAAGAAAAATAACAAAAGTGCTTCTATAAGAAATTCACTAAAAAGACTGAGAGTGAAAGAAACACATTTTTTTTTGGTCCAACATAACCTTAGAAGCATTAATGCTGATACTGGCACTGACATTTTTTAGATTTTAAACCTAAATATAATTGTTAACTATGCTTATTAACTTTGAACTTTACTTTTGAACATTTCAGTTAGCTTTTTACTAGTGATGGGTCCAGTAAGCCCGATGCGTGGCTGCATGCGTGGAGAGAAGAGAGAAACACTATCGGTGCATCTGTCGTTTCAAGGAATTCACATGACCGATCCAGGAGCAGTGTTGTATAGTAACCAAGTAAAAATACTTCAGTACTGTACTTAAGTATATTTTGGAGTACTTTATACTTTCCAAGAGTATACATTTTTTTGAGAACTTTCACTTTTACTTCACTACATTTACGAACTTAATTGCATACTTTTACTCTGATTCATTTTCAATGTTTGGTTTAGTTACGAAGTAAAAAAAAAAAAAAAAAACGAGCAAGATAAACTCAACTTACTTTTTACTTATACTTTTCACTACATTATTTTAGTACATCTATTGTTACAGTAATTCTTATACTTACGTACAAGCCGTTTCAGATACTTTAAGACTTTTACTCGAGTAACATTTCAGCCAGTGACTTGGACTTTTACCAAAGTCATATTTTGGAGAGGATTTCAGTACTTTATACAACATTGGACAGGAGATGTTTCCAACTGACTGATTCACTAAACTGTGTTTTAAAATGTATAAGTCAACATGATGGATCAGGTAAAAAAATTGTCTCTTCTTTTGTGGTTTATCATTAAAATGATAAAGAATTTTGGAGCCTAAAGGGAATAAGAAAGTTTCAACCATTGCATTTTGATTTTAATTTTCTAATTTTTTCATCCTTTTCCTCTCAGTTATCACCCAACTTATCTGAATTAGAGTTAATTTCAAACTGACTCTTAATTTATTTACTGTTTTAAATGTACTTAGTGTACAAAAAATATGATTTAAAATCCGAGTCCACAAACATCCTCATTTCCCACTAAATCTTTACATTGTGATAAATACTTACACTATTTATTCACTGCATCTAAAAATAATAAATCATATATATTTTCACCCACAATAATTTCTATTCTATCATTGTACTAGGTCATCAAATCAATTCAGTTTAATTTGACAAATAAGCTGCCTGTAGTGTCTTTAAATGTCCAGCAGGTGTCAGTATTCTGTGAGACAGAATCTTTCTTTCCAACTTAATTTCCAGAAGGTAATATATTATTCAAGGGCTCATCTAATTGGTCAGATGCCAAAATCAGATGTGCAGCCATGTAGCAGGATCTTTGCTGAATGGCTGGATATAGATCTAGTGCTTCTAGACCTCATTGAGGGATGGGGGGACTCCATTTGTAAGGGGAATGCATGAGATAAAAAAAAAATGTAACTTGCCCTATAAAGGGTTAACAGAAGTCTAAATACAGGAAGAAACATCATGACACTTTGGGCCAAACCTTGTTATAAAAAGATTGTTCTGGAAAACGAACAGGAAATATTTACAACAAAATGACAGAAATGTTTGTATGCTGTCACCACTGTGACCGTAAATAAATAATAACCTCAATAATTAAGATAAATAAACCAAAAATAGCTAAATACATCAATTTAAAAAAGCTTTAGAAGATAAAGAAGTGATGAAATGATATAAATATTAAGAAACTAAAGAAAAGAAGCTTAAAGGCAGACACACTTTTTCATTTAAAGCTGGTTGATGAGAAAGTGTAGATGAAGAAAAAAAGATAAAACCTGCTTCCTATCTGGAATTCTATTAGAAAACTAAACATGTTGGAGTTTTGTCTTTCTATGGCGTTCTGCAGCTCATCATGGCGGATGGCTGACCTCGCCCTGAAAATGTTCTGACCTGCTTTTTACCAGCCTCTACCTCAACTCATTCATGTCTGAATGCATCGAAGCAAACATCTTATCGTTTATTCTCAGACACCATAGTCTTGTGCATGTCGTCATGGCGACCCAGCGCCAGACTCTGCTGCTCACCTGCGTCCGCCGTCAGGTTGATGTCCGGACTGAAGGGCTTCTGTTGGTCGCCTTTCACTCTGAACTGAACCACATATTTAATCTTCACCTGATCCGGGGAGTAAACCACGAACTCGTCGTCCTGCGGCGCACGGACAGAAACGCACCAGTGACGGGTTTGAACATGGAGACCCTGCTGCTCGTCGTTTACTGCTCTCTGTGCTCGGCGTCTACCTCGAAGTCAGACGGAGTTCCTTTAGTGCGGCGGACTCCATGGACGCTGTGAAAGCCCTCTGGAGGCCTGGTTAGAGTCGGGTCTTTCTTATAGACGTTCTTAAACCATCCCAGAGCCACATCACAAACCAGCAGCAGGCGGGAGCCGTCGGTTTCACTGGGGGAGGAGTACTTCAGACTGGTGCTGTGAACACAAACAGACGCCGTTTGTTCAGATCCATTCCTCACTGCGGTTTAGACGTCCAGAGAAGCAGGACAACTATGACTCTGTTCTTAATCTGATTTTATTCTTTAAATGAAACCAACCTCAGAGCATCACTGAAGTAAATCCCGCTGCCAAGGTTCCCCACATCCGTCCTCTCGATGCCATGGAGCTCCACTCCCACATGAGGAAGCAGCAGACCTCTGAGGAACCAGTCACAGAAATAAACTCATCTTTTCATGTTTAAATAAAACAGAACACACAGGTTTCAGCCACTGTTATACAGTAGTCCTAATAAAAGATGCAGGAAAACGCCTGGATTCAAAAATGTTCTTTAAGAATCCAAATGATCCAACAGCTCTGCATAAAAATGGCTGATCAATTGATCCAGCACCTCCCTGGTCCTGTAGCAGCGTTCATGTGGGGCCAGGGAGTCCATTAGCCTGGTGAGACCATCCTGATCTCGCGAGCTTTCAAGGTTTCACTCGCTAATCAGTCTGCAGACTCTCCGCTAAAGAAAATTTGGAGCCGTTCACCAAACGAATGTCCAATCAGCGTTGGCTTTGAGGCGGGTTGAGGTGTGACGCAACGAGAAGCGCGACAGTTCAGTCTAAAGAACATGGCAGCTTCAGCCGATGAAACTAGCGTTAGCGTGGCTATCGAGCAAGTTTTATCGGAATTACAGAGTATTTCTTCACTGAAAGAAGAGCAAAACACTGCTCTGGAGGCTTTTCTCAGAGGAAAAGATGTTTTTGCTCTTCTCCCGACTGGTTTAAGCAAGAGTTTGATCTATCAATTGGCTCCTCTTCGTCGTCGCTCTGTTAGTACGTCATATGCTTCGTTGATCTGATTGGTTTATTTGGCCCGTCTATCACCAACATAGGCCAATCAGCTAGCCAGTATTTTCGCCCCTTCCCAAAATTACTTCAACGGAAGGTTTCCAGATGGATATGCGGAGCAAATCCATCTGGCGGAGTCAGGTTAGAGTCCATTCCTCCTTTAGGAAAAGTCAGAATGGGTCCAGATTGGGACTAGGAATGTTTCTAGAAAGTAAACATTTTTTTTATCCAGTTTAAACATTTAGTCCAGAAATGTTTGCTGCGTTCAAACCGAACACTCAAAAAAGATTTGAGCATCAAAATTATTTCCATCACGTCATTGTGGCCCGTAGGTTTAGAACATTTTTAAGTGAGAACGTTTACCTCAGACATTGTCCCTTAAGTCGGTTCATCAGGATTATGATCCTACTTTTAAATATCCTGCGTTCGTTCTGAGAGGCAGACCCCCCCCCCCATACCAGTAGGCGCCAGCACTGGGAGGAGCCCCAGTAACAGCTCCCTCAATCACTCAGGGATTTCCCACTGCTGTTCATAGCAGCAGGAAGTTAAAAAAGGTAACATTCAGGTGACGTCACTCAGTCATGTGACACCCAGGACTCCTCTTCCTTGGATGGCGAAACAAACCACCCGTACATAGAACGCCATCAGCTGCTATTGCAGTTTTTCCTCCAAGTTACCTTGAAAACTGCAACAAAACATGGCAAAGAGGTGCTCAGCATTTGGGTGCACCAACCAATGGGAAGAAAGGATCTCGCTTCGGTTAAGACCCAAAAGGCGAGCAGGATGGGTGGCTGCCATGCTTCTGTCTCCTTGAACCCCAGTGGGCCTCAGCAGATGGCCGCTCACACTGAGCCTGGTTCTGCTGGAGGTTTCTTCCTGTTCAAAGGGAGTTTTTCCTCTCCACTGTCGCTACAAGCATGCTTAGTGTGAGGGATTGCTGAAGAGTCAATGAGTCGATGCAATCAGCTGGTTTTCCTTAGATAGAAAACTTCTAATCAATCTGACTGGATGATCTGGTGAACTGGAAAGTGTCTTGAGATGACATGATGTGAATTGGAGCTATAGAAATAAACTTAATAGAATTGAAGAGACAGACCGGGAACCAGCTACGACTAGCAGAATCTACTTTGATCACTCCTTCAACAGTTAGTTGTAGTGATGAGTTCATGAGGCACCATGAAGCGTTTCGACTCGTTTGCAAAATGTCCTGATACTGTGTGACTGAATACTGACACCTACTGGACATTTTAAATCCCTACAGGCAGCCTCTGACAGACTAAAGCCCAGCATAGACTCCGGGATATTTACAATCGCCGCACGCAGCTAGAGCTAAAACTGTACGACAAAACCGCATGGTTTAAAGGTTCACAGCTCACGATGTTTGTTCTCACACTGTGCGACCCGACGCTCTGATGCGATCTACCTGCTCACACTGCACGTCTAAAAACAGTCCGACATAGATCAACATAGACCGCTGTCGCTGCCTTATGCTACGTTCACACCGGATGCAGCAGGAGCAGCAAAATCGCGTCTGCTGCTTCATTTTTACTGCTTGTACCAGTTTCGTTCTGACGCGCGGCTGAAGCAGCTTTGCTGCTCTGGCTGTGCGGTGCAAAAGTGTGTCTGACGCGCGTTGGGCGGAGCTTCTCTATCCTTTCTCTGCCTTGCAGCTATATTTGCTGTGATCAGTGGGAATAAAGTAGTTTTAATATGTTTTTAAGTGAGAAAATACACCTGAAACCTTAATCATTGCAGTCAGTTCATCCAGATTACCATCCTGCCTTCCAATATTTTTTCTGTCAGAGCCGCTCAGACCCCCACATACCAGCGGTGCGCTGTATGGAAGGCCCCATTCAACAGCAGATTCTGGCCGGTCGCCTCCTCGCGGTTCACCGCGGCGGCTGGTAGGTGTTTTTCATGTACGTAATCTAAACTGCAGGCAGCAGGATAATAAAAGCGAACATATTCTGCCGGCAGGTTTCAGCATTTTAAGTTAATAAACAGTTTCAGAGGAGTGATCATAGCGCTCTGTGTCAGCAGTGCTGTATCTCTCTCCCTGCCAGCTCTCAGATCAGCTTCTCTGATTGGTTGACGCGGCGTGTCGAGCAGCAAAAGTTAAATTTTTCCATCTCGAGCAGCAGCGTGTTTGCTTAAATGCTCCCGACGCGCTGCTTCAGCTGCTCAAAACGCGCTGTGGGATCTTTTGGTGCGCCTTGACGCGCGTCAACCATTGACTTTGCATGTAAACTCGCTGCCTCTGCTGCTCCTGTTGCGTCTGGTGTGAACGTAGCATTAGCAGCGTGGTCAACGACAACTGGTCCTCATAATGATGGTGAAATTGGAAAAAATGGTCCTTACTCTGAGGGCTAGACAGGCATCTCTCACACACACACACAGCTTGGACTTCAGACAACAGATGATAGATGGGTGTGAATTGACCTAAAGTTCTGTTTTTGTGACATCAGTAAACTGAGCGTTCTCAGCCTTTAGACTCTCCTTCAGTCCGGACTCACCTGGACAAGATGCCTACAAAGTTCCTGGGGCTGGACGAATGGAGGAGGGGCTTGATGTTCCTGAGCTCACTCCTGAACGTCTGAAGCTCCACCCCTCTGCTGACACGGAGGATCTGCTGGATCTCAGCAGGCCTGAAAACCCAAAGAGACGGTTAGTTCTGCAGCTCTGTGGTAATAATCTGTATTTTTTTTATAGTAATGGAGGACCTGTCGGCCAGCAGGGCGGAGATGTTCTGGAACTCAGCGCTGCTGGGGGGAACAGCCTCGATGCTGCAGCGAAGGGAGCGGTACTTCCCCACGGAGGATGGCGTGGAGCAGGTCATCTCCGTCACGTTTAGAAAATCTCGGATTAACTGGAGGAAAATAAATCAAGAACTTCACCGTGTGAGGAAACATAGAAACCTGTAACCTGAACGTGTGCTAATACCTGACAGAGGTCTAGCTTCTGAGACAGAAGCTTTGCGGTGGGAAACGGTGGTCTGGCATCTTTGTGAGGGAGCAGGGTGTAAACCTCCTCCAGGAGAGACGACGCCTCAGACGGATTTCCCTCCTTCAGTTTCCTCTGAGCCTGAAGCAGCAGGCCCTCGGCTCTGCTCACCTGAAACAATCACAGCTTGGTCAGGACGCGGCCTCGGGGTGAACTCAGATCTGTAGATCCATGCAAACCTACATCGTTCAGGCTGAGCTGAGAGATGGGAACTCTGAGGATGTTTCCAAGGCAACCAAGAGCTTCGGTCCACAGCATCTCTACGAACAACGCCACCTCAGGGGACAAGGTGCTCGAGTTCAGCTTGTTCTCCAGCAGCAGCTGAGGGTCAATCAGAGAGACGACCGATGAGCTGATGCTGCTAACGGAAACAAACCAGCTAACGAAACAAACCAGCTAACGGAACAAACCAGCTAACGGAACAAACCAGCTAATGGAACAAACCAGCTACAGATCCAGAAACCTCAGCTTTTCTAAATCACCTTAAGCAGCTAATTTAATCTGACCGCCTTAAGAGGACAGATGGTGATTTGTTGGTTTATTGACTGGATATGAACATAAATATAAACAAATTACACATTCTGACGAAGTTTAGACTAATCCTTCCAAAAAAAAAATTAAAAAAAACAACCCAGTGGATTTTGTTTCCAAGTTTGAAGACGTTTCGCTTTGGATCCAGGAAGCTTTTTAAATACAAAATGTCAGAAATAGTTCCAGGTTTTATCCAGCAGTCCAACAAAGCCTGTTTTTGTTCAGAAAACATGCAAATTGAAACGGACGAATGGGTCCACCCTATTGGAATGGGGTTCATTTGGCATTTTTTTGTTAGCCTCAATGCCCCATACCTGCCTATGTCTCTGAAAGGGGCGTCGTTAAAGTCGTAGGGAAACAGCTGTTCCAACAGTTACATTTGCGAATTCTCCCGAGTGGTGCACAACTTTACACGAGCAAATAGACAAGTGAATGTGATTGGTCGTTTATCAAGGGGGCGGGATTGTTGTGGCGGAAAGTTCGCAAGCTAGCTTGGTTGTGGCTGGTTTGTGGGAAGCATCTTGCTAACCAGTTAGCAACTTAGTGCTAGCAGGTTCCCAATGGGAAATTCCATTGGGACCAAGTAGCACTAAATTGGTGACTTAGAAACGACGCTGTCAAGGAACGCTATGGACAGCGGAAACATAGAGGAGGAGAGTTTAGTGTCGGAGGTCGTGGATGAGTCTCCTCCGTCCCGTTTCAACGGAGCGCTCACAGAGCTCAGAGTATTAAGTTAAAAGTTCTCTTTTCTGTTGCCATTGTTCAATAAAAGTGTTTTAAGATCATTTGAGGCGAGAACATTATACTTTTAAGTGAAACTATAGGGCCCATTTAAGGATTTAATGCGTAATTTAAAAAAAAAATGCAGAAGTTGAGGGACTACGGCAACATGCAGTGTTTCCAGGCTAACGGCAGCCAGGGCTAACGTTAGCCCTGGCTGCTGCAGCCAGGGCTAACGTTAGCCCTGGCTGCAGTAGCCAGGGCTAACATTAGTCCGTCTGCAGTAGCCAGGGCTAACATTAGTCCGTCTGCAGTAGCCAGGGCTAACATTAGTCCGTCTGCAGTAGCCAGGGCTAACATTAGTCCGTCTGCAGCAGACAGGGCTAACGTTAGTCCGTCTGCAGTAGCCAGGGCTAACATTAGTCCGTCTGCAGTAGCCAGGGCTAACATTAGTCCGTCTGCAGTAGCCAGGGCTAACATTAGTCCGTCTGCAGTAGCCAGGGCTAACATTAGTCCGTCTGCAGTAGCCAGGGCTAACATTAGTCCGTCTGCAGTAGCCAGGGCTAACATTAGTCCGTCTGCAGCAGACAGGGCTAACGTTAGTCCGTCTGCAGTAGCCAGGGCTAACATTAGTCCGTCTGCAGTAGCCAGGGCTAACATTAGTCCGTCTGCAGCAGACAGGGCTAACGTTAGTCCGTCTGCAGTAGCCCTCTCTCTGCATAGCCGTGTGTGAAGTACCGCTGGCTCTGATGGCGATTTTTTTGTTTTATTTGGCAAAATGTTCATTTGATTTGTGTTTATCTGACTGTGTTCATTATTATTCCCCCACTAAATGAAAAAATTAAGAATTTATAATAATCTAGAGACTTTTAATAACAAGAGGTGAAAAGCAGCTCCAGACGAGCCGAGCGTGTGCTGATGTCACAATTTCGCTTCTGTTCCAATTGACCCATATTTATGCTGCGTGCTCCTGTTCTCCCAGAGTCCACACTTTACCGTGTTCCTCTCAAGAACATCCATGGCGAGAACACGAGTCCATACTCACGTTGTTGTGAAGAGAAACGGCCAACAATTCGCTCTCTAACTATTCACCTGTAACGGTCACCGCTGCTCTACGAAGATTCTGATTTCAACCGTTGCGTATATTAGCAGCGGCGTATGAATCAAGATTTTATGAACGAAAAAATGTTATTGGCAGATGACTGTTGATATGATTGGCCGTATTTAACTGTTCAGGCTGACGTAGAACTAACTGGCCTGCAGAAGATAACGGAAAAAACAACAACACACAGATTTTAAATCAAGTTTTTTTATTGAAATTCTGGTTTTTGGGACAATATTGTCCGATAAAGTACATTTATATATATGTTTAAGCCAGATTTGAAAATGTAAAAATGATTTCCCTACGACTTTAAAGCGAATTGTTGGTCTGGCTGAACAGTCGTCTGTTACGCTGTGTGGGGGTGGGGGGATGCGATGATAGCGGGAAGGGATTAAGTCAATCACTGCATTGTAGGTTTTTGAAAACTGAAATCTAAGTCCACCCCTCCTCGGTTTAAGGTTGTTTTTTCTTTCTAAACATCGATGGCTTCCTTCTCACCTTAAACCAACCAACTTTAAACCGGGGGGGGGACAGGCTTTAAAATCCTTCTGTTAGTCCTGAAATCACTGAATGGCTTCGATCCAAACTACATTACAGGCTGGTTGGCAGTGAATCGACAGTCAGACCTCCCATGTCAACTGGATCTAGTCTGATGCAGAACTAAACATGGAGAAGCAGCTGGAAAAGTGTTGAAATAAGCTTTCTAATTATAATTAGTTTTCAATGCAACATTCTTTCAATTTATAATTAATGAATCACTTTATATTCAAGAATTATAAACTTATGTACTTTTCTTTTTGTGCTGTCCTATATTTTTTTCATGTGCTATAGAGATAAACCTGCGTTGCCTTCCGGGTTTGATGTGGTCTGAGCTGTTTCCTGTCACAGCGTTCATCTACACACAGAACCTTCTCCCACATGTCTGCCGTCTCCTTTGTTATCACTCTGACTAAAAACAATACGCCTAGAGCCACAAAACCTGCTTGACCTTAAAAAAACATTCTGTTTTATGAACTTTTTAAACTAAAATCTATAAAATAATTCATTGGAAATCAAAGAACCAGATTCTAGACGATGTTTCCTGCTAAAACTCACAAAAGGACCAACAAAAAATGTTCACCTTTAAAATTATTTAGGGGTATCAAATTAAAGGTAGACCAAACTTTCAATACCTTTCTGTTCATAAAACCAAACATATTGCGTTTTAAAAAGGTCATTTCCTCTCTTTATGAATGATGAGTGTTCATTTTATTTACTTTCTACTGTAAAGTATTTGCTAAGGCTGTTGCTCTGCAGTGTCTTGGCATCAGGAGTCGTTTTTCCACTTTTAGATGTTTTGAAAAGTAGCTTCATCTGGTCTGTTCCTGTTTGGCTGTGACTCCATCCTGGAGAGAAATATCAGCTGTGCTGCTGCCATCAACACCTTTGTTTCTAGATGCTGGAGCTTGGCCTGTTTTCCAGTGTAGTCCTGTTTCTCTGACTGTGACTAACTGGATGTGCTCTCTTCATCCTCTGACATGGGAGCTGGCTCGGAGCTCGTCTGCCTGGCTGTGTGTTTCCTGGACGGGGCCGCCTGTGGAGCTGGTTGACAGTTGCCTTTTGTATCTATGCTTCTTTTTCTATGTCTGCTTCTGTCTCCTTGAACCCCAGTGGGCCTCAGCAGATGGCCGCTCACACTGAGCCAGGTTCTGCTGGAGGTTTCTTCCTGTTCAAAGGGAGTTTTTCCTCTCCACTGTCGCTACAAGCATGCTTAGTGTGAGGGATTGCTGAAGAGTCAATGAGTCGATGCAATCAGCTGGTTTTCCTTAGATAGAAAACTTTGAATCAATCTTACTGGAGGATCTGGTGAACTGGAAAGTGACCTGAGATGACATGATGTGAATTGGAACTACTGGAAAAACTATCAAGTAAATAAGTAAAAATGTCTAAAATTAAGTGTATTTACCCTTCATTTGAGTCAGTAAATGAGATAGTTTGCCAATGGAATGAGTATTTTTACTCTTAAAATAAGAAAATTAGATACTATGCACTTGAAATAAGACAATGCAATTGTGTTTTCTTATTTTAAGTGTAAATTGTCCTGTTTCATTGGCAAAACGTTTTACCTCCTTAATCCCAGAACAAAAGCGCTTATTTTGAGAAAAAATGACTCATCTAGATTTCAATTTCTTCCAGTAAAATAAACAGAATTGAGTTTAAATGAAAGCAGCAACGATGCTTTTAGGTTGAAGTTTATTTCAATGTCCCTGTTTGCTCAAAGTAGCTGAAACTTGTTTGGATAAAGCTGGATTTAAAACCCTCCCAGTGTGAAGTAGTGAAATCCTTCGTCTGACCAGAACAGACAGAAAACCGCTGTAGGAGCAGATTACTTTTAAAAAATATATATAATTAACAAGGTTTTTCTTTTTGGTGGATAATCTAGCTAAGTTTATTCTACTTTATTGTTTGATATCTGCTATTAGATTAAGTTTTTTGTTCATTGAGTCATGCTCCTTTGTTTCTGGTTATTTATGATTAGTTTTAGGGATGCACGATACTGGGATTTTGGCCGATATCCGATATGCCGATGTTTTAAAACTCATGTAGCCGATAACCGATATCGATACCGATGTTAAAGCTGGACAAAAATAAGTAGTCATTGAAAATAGCAGTTTTGTTATCCATTTCTGACACTTTGAAAAATAATAAACTCAAATATATTTTCATATGCTGATATCAAATTGATTTTTAAAAACGCGGTATCGATCTATTTTACTTTCAAAATCTCGTGAAATTTCATCGTTCTGTTACAAACTCTCGTGATATTTTGCAAATTCTTGTGAGATTTTGTTAGTAAAATAGATCGATACCGCGTCAATATATCAACATATAAAAATATGGCAACATTTGGTGAATTTTCGGGGGATTTCGTAGCATAACGATGACATATAGCAATATTTCATTAGTAAAAGAGATTGATATGGTGTTTTTAAATGGCAATATATCAGCATATGAAGATATTGGGATATTTTAATGGATCAATATTTTTTCCCTCGTCTTTAGAAGTTTTTAAGTCTGTAAAAAAGAAGTTTTTGAGGAAGAAGAAGAAGTAGTATTTTATTTTTTTTTTTAGACTTTAGAAACTCAGAAGCTGATCAAATATCGGGTTAAATATCGGTGAGGTGGCCGATGTCCGATATTCAGTTTTAAGGCCGATACCGATAGGGGGCCCATTATATCGTGCATCCCTAATTAATTTGGGTGAATTATTTTCATAAATAGGCTGTCAATGGTAGAACCAGCATGCATCTGGGTGGGCTGCTATGCAGGAGAAGCATGGAGGAAATGTTTGTCCTCTTTTGTTTGCTTACCTGAGGAGAAATAAACTGAGAAAACTGAAGGAGTTTACCTGGAACATTTTTTCTTTTGCCTGCGTAAATCATGCATCTGCAGCCTTTGTGAACGTTTTTTCGGTTTTATCAAAGTTGGGCCACAACAGCCGGAAAAATCTTTGTTATTTATCAATAACAGTATTTCCTTCCTTCTTATTCCAGTTTTTATTAACCCATCATATAAAATCCCTGATCAATAATCCAGGGGGGGTGAATACTAATTAAACCCCCAGAGGTGTTGCCCCATTGGCCTAAACAGGATGTGAGGCGGAGCAGACTGTGTATCTGACCTGCTGCAGGGGGGCGGAGCCAAGCGGCTGCACCTCAGCAGGGACGTCGCCCTTCAACTGCAGGTCGGAGTGCTGTAGTTCTTCAGTCAGCTGTTGGTAAACGTCCACGGCTTTATCTGAGGTGGAGGGAAACACCAGCCGGTCCATCACAGCCGCCTTCTGAACAGACAGACACTGCAGGTCAGAATGGAAGCTGCTTTGATTTATCAGTGAGAGCAGAGATTTGGGTCAGAGTCAATCTGATGTCTGTAAAGAGAGCAACCATTTGCAAAAAACTGGTGTAAACCTCTTCCTCCATAACCCCGCCCCCTTAAGTCCTCTTAATGATGTCATACTTTTGCCGCCACATCGTCCTGCCAGTATCTGGCCACACGGTAGCGCCGCCCCTCCTCGTCCGCGGCGCTCTGCAGCTCCAACACGCACCACGTGCTCCCGTTATCCTGCAGACACACCGGCTTCAGTTTGAGCCGCAGCATCAGGACCAAAACTAACTGAACAAACAGATAAAACTGCTTCACCTGTCCGAAAAACGAGTACAGCGCCACCTGGAAATCATCAGGGAACGCCGGGAGATCAGAGTCCGATTCATGGAAAATTCTGGGTTAGTTAACAGAATGAGGCGAGGGTTAAATTTAGCTTGAATTTCTATTTTCAGAATGATTTTATGTTCTATGGTTGTTTTATAAACTAGGAAGTTATCGTGGCTCAGTGATGAAGATCAGACATGATGTGCTGAAGATGATGATGATGGTCCCACCTGAGCTTCTCATCCTTTCTTTCCTTGGTTTGTTGTGCTGCTGGATGAAGAAACATTATTAGACACAGAAGAAACATTTCACAACTTTTTAGAACATTTTTATCAAAGAAATAGATTCCTAAAAATTCTATGGTGGCCCAAAGGCCCAAAGTTCTACTACTTTATTCCTCTCCCCAGTTATTTATGAGCCCTTCTTTTCCCTGCCTTTATAGGTGTGTCCCTAAACTCCAGCGTGTCCTGTGCCTCCCACCAGGCCTCCTCCTGATAGGACACGCCTGGAACACCTCCCACCAGGAGGCAACCAGGAAGCATCTATGACTCCAAACCCATCTGTTCCAGCTCGCTTATCTGTGAATGCGCTGCTCTTTTCCCCATACATAACTGATTTTATGTTCCTGTATTTTTGTAATTTCATCTTCTTTTTATTTATTTTTTGTATTTTCTATAAAGTGATCTTGAGTGTCCAGAAAGGCGCTGTTAAATAAAATGTATTGTTATTATTATCTGGAATAGACGCCACCTCCGCTGGCTCCTTTCGAAGTGGAGGAGCAATGGCTCTACTCCGAGCTCCTCCGGCTAACTGAGCGTAGCGACGTGGAACGCCACATCTGGCATCGCTTCAGAAAACGATGCAGGAGCATCTGGGTGGAGATGCTTTTTCTAACTCAGTGGAAAACCTCGTTACAAGGTAAGAAGGTCATACACTGCAAAAACAATCTAGAATTAATTCAACATTTCTTAAATTAAGTGTTTTTACCCTTAATTTGAGCAGGTAAATAAGATGATTTGCCAATAGAATGAGTATTTTTACTCTTAAAATAAGATAATTAGATAATATGCACTTGAAATGAGACAATGCAAATGGGTTTTCTTATTTTAAGTGTAAATTGTCTTGTTCAATGGGCAGGATGTCTCTTTTACCTCCTCAATCCAAGAACAAATGCACCTTTTTAAAGAAAAAATTACTCTAGATTTAGATTTTTTCCAGTGTATAATCAAGAACTATATACCAATCTAATATAATCATTTGCATCTATATCACAGCTTAGGCACTTACAGTGCAACCGCTTATAGAAGATTAGATAAAGATAAGAATAAAATAAGAATAGAAAGAAAACAAGACAAGGATAGTATACGGAAGAGGAATAGGGCCACTGAAAAAAAAAAAAAAGTTAACTGATTTTTTTATTTTATTTCAGTATAGTATGGGAATACTTTTTTCTCAGAATTCTGACTTTTTCCCATGTTAAACTGAAATAAAATTTAAAAATCAGTTAACTTATTTTTTTTTTTCCTCTTCCGTAATAGTAAGTGTGTGCTTCCTGAATAATAAGTAAAACAGGTTTCTAAAGCAGGACGCGCCTTAGACCAGACGCTCATCTCCTGTTTCCAAAGTTCATCACAAACGACTGCAGAAAGCTTTTCTACTATGATAACTACTAATGTTATTCTGATAAACATGAATCCTGAACTGCAGGCCTACATAATAACCTAACAGGTGATGATGAACTGTTACAGTCAGTAGCTTAGTGTCAGTCAGACCAAGCTTTCCTCCACTCATTCAGGCAGCCATTATAAGCTGTGAGGCTGGAGAAGCTGCAAGGGCTGCTGGGAAATATCAAGATGGAGAAAACATCACCATTTATCCTAGTTTTGTATTAAGGAGGATTTTTTTTAATGTTTGTAGTCTGTTCATGCTAAGCTAACAATACGTTCTGCAGGTTGCAGTTGTAAATATTAACATAAAACATTTAGAGGGGAAAAAACCAGCTGGAGCATTTCCTGTTTATTTTTATTGCATAAATAAAGAGCTGGAATAAAGAGCGACTTCATCTTGGTGTCAGTGTGAGTTACTAACCTGCTGGCGAACATGCAGCAATATCAAGGTGAAAGTCATCATTAGTATAGACCTAGCTTAATGCGGCACATTAACGCACTGATGAAGTTTTCAGGTGTATACATATTAAAACTACTTTATTCCCACTGATCACAGCAAATATAGCTGCAAGGCAGAGAAAGGATAGTGAAGCTCCGCCCACCGCGTGTCAGACACACTTTTGCACCGCGCAGCCAGAGCAGCAAAGCTGCTTCAGCCGCGCGTCAGAACTAACTGGTACAAGCAGCAAAAATGAAGCAGCAGACGCGATTTTGCTGCACCAGCTGCGTCCGGTGTGAATGTAGCATTAGGGATGGAACGGTTCGGTTCGGTTCGCGTGTGTTGCGTTCGGTTCATGCGCTGCTCCTTTTTCTCATAGGCGAAGCGTTTACACTCCAGAGCAGAAGGTGGCGGTACTGCGACCAAAGCCAACCACCAGTAGTAAACAAGAAGAAGAAGCGAAGCAGCGTAGCCGGGTGTAGCAGAAAAAAATCGGTTGTTGTGGAGAATTGTGTGGGTATGGCGAGTGGGAAAGAACAGGAGTTGGAAGACGCGCCAGCAGCACTTTATAGGTCTGCTGTATGGGACCGCTTTGCATTTAGAGTGACCTACGATGACGGCGGAAAGAAAGTTGTGGATAAAAACAGTGTGCAAGCATTGTGCAACACGTTTAGTTAATGCTAACAGCAACATGACCAACATGTCAGGCTAACAATCAACATATACTGAACCGAAAACCATGACCATGAAACCGTGAACCGAACCGTGGATTTTGTGAACCGTTCCAGCCCTAATATATAGTGTGTGTGCTAAACTAGAATAAAAAAACGATTATTTTGCAAATCGCTCAATCTGTTAATTACTTCTTTTCGATTATTAATTAGATAGCAAAAGCTTCTTTGAAGAACACTGTTTACGGAATTGAAGCAGGTGAAACTTTTTTAATTTTTACCCTTAAGGAGTTCTGGATAAAGCATATAAACAGACAAAAAAATGTTTCTAAATATTTTAAGTATCTTAGGTTTATATTTCTGAAGGTATTTTATGGTTGCAGGGATGTAATTAGATCCCCAATAATAAATGAATATTGATCGATGTATTGTTCATTCCTGAGGTGTTTCTACATGAGAAGCAGCTCAGAGACTCAGAGGAAATTACAGACATCTACAGAGCAGGTTCCTCTGCATGTGGTCAGACCTTCAGCAGCTAGCGGAGCTCTGCTCGCTAACTGCACAGGTGGAGGAGCTGGAGATGAAGCAGCAGATGCAGTGTCCATCTGGTATCCATCCACGGGCAGAAGAGCTCCTCTCTCCACGCAGTCGTGCAGGTAATTCAAGCCGACCACCGGCGTCTGGTGCTTCTGGATGCTGCGCAGCCTGTTGGAGCTCAGGTTGGACACATCCGTGGTCACCACCAGAGAGCACTGTGGGAAATGTAGGCAGAAAGTGATGCTGCTTTGATAAAACCAGGACAGCTGTCAGCATGTCTAACTCTACTCTCTGAAACCGATCCATGCCGAGTTCCTTATGGCCGTTTACACACCATGCTAGCTCGGTTCCTCGCCTCCTAGTGGCCATCTATGGTACTACTGCTCTCTAGGACACTCTAGACCTGGAGTCGGTTTCTTTCAATTTCTTTTCTCATATTCAGCTGATTTTGTTGGTGACGTTGGTTTGGAAAAAATGAATTTTTGCTGCTCTATTCGCCACATCAACCAATCAGAGAAGCTGATTTGGGAGCTGGCGGGGAGAGGGACACTGAAACTGTTTATTAACGCCTAAATTAACGTAAAATGTGGAAACAAGCTATCCATTCATCCATTTTCTGTCAAGCTTATCCCAAGCAGGGTCATGAGGGGTGTCTATCTCCAGAGAGGCGGGGTCCACCCTGGACAGGGCGCCAGTCCATTGCAGGCAACACAGAGACAAACAGGACAAACCATTCACACACACACTCACACCTAAGGAGAATATAGAGAAGCCAATTAACCCAACAGTCATTTTTTGGACTGTGGGAGGAAGCAGGAGTACCCAGAGAGAACCCACGCATGAAAATTCCATGCAGAAAGGCCCCAGGCCAGGAATCGAACCCAAAACCTTCTTGCGGCAAGGCAGCAGTGCTAACCACTGCGTCATTAAGCAACACCCTGCCAGCAAAATATGTTTGCTTTTATTATTCTGGTGCCACACATGAAAACCACTAACATCTACTTCCAGCCGCCACCAACAGTAGGGAGAAACCCCCAAGAGGCAACCGGGCCTGAGGCAGCTGCTGCTGGGGATTCCCAGTGACAGCCGGTATGTGGGGGTCTTAGCCATCCATCCATCTTTTTCCGCTTATCCGGGGTCGGGTCGCGGGGGCAGCAGCTTAAGAAGGGAGGCCCAGACTTCCCTCTCCCCAGCCACTTCTTCCAGCCCCTCAGGAGGAACCCCAAGGCGTTCCCAGGCCAGCCGAGAAACATAGTCTCTCCAGCGTGTCCTGGGTCTCCCCCGGGGCCTCCTCCCGGTGGGACATGCCTGGAACACCTCACCAGGGAGGCATCCTAACCAGATGGCCGAGCCACCTCAACTGGCTCCTTTCGACGTGGAGGAGCAGCAGCTCTACTCCGAGTCCCTCCCGGATGACCGAGCTTCTCACCCTATCTCTAAGGGAGAGCCCAGCCACCCTACGGAGGAAACCTATTTCGGCCGCTTGTATCCGCGATCTTGTTCTTTCTGCCATGATCCAGAGTTCATGACCATAGATGAGGGTAGGAACGTAGATCGACCGGTAAATCGAGAGCTTTGCTTTTTGGCTCAGCTCTCTCTTCACCACGACGGACCGGTACAGCGCTCGCTTCACGGCAGACGCTGCACCAATCCGCCTGTCGATCTCCCGCTCCCTTCTTCCCTCATTCGTGGACAAGATCCCTAGAAGAAGCTGGCTCTAGGGGGGTCTGAGCGGATCACATAATCTTGATAAACTGACTCCACAGATTAAGTTTTCAGGCAAAATTTCTCACTTAAAAATCTATAAAAAATTCCGCTCAGCTCTTGGTGGCCATTAGGATTAGTTTTTTTTATAAGAACTTAAGGGAATTTAAATACAGCCAAGATATAACATGGCTAGAAAACTTTCCAACAAAGAAAGGAAATATGAAAGGGGAAGATGAGCCAGGAGGAATGAATGATGAATGCTGGATGTAAGAAATAAAAGGGCCAGGACAGAAAAATTACTTTTGGAAAGAACGCTTTAAGTAAACATGGATTCTAGTGGCCACTGGCCAGATTAGAGTTTTTAGAGCCAAAAAATAAAATAAAATAAAACTTATCCAGTACTATAAAATACTCAAAAATATATTAAAACTGCTTTTAATGGAGATGAGGCGGTCTGCTCATTCGCACTCAACAGTGATCTCGGGTACCGTTCTCAGACCGATCTCTGCATGGTTTTGAAAAACAGGGTAAATGAGGCTTATTGATAAATGTGTGACACGGTTTTCCATCTGATCACTGATGTCCTTCAAGCTTTGCTCTGACTGTTAATCTATTTGGTTCAATAACGGCACAGAGTCGTCAAAATGTGGCTAAAAACTGGCTCGCCTGTTTATTGACGATGAACGAAAAGCTGCCTCCGTTCATCGTCACGGCTGACTTCAGCTTCTTCTTCTCCTTAAGCGGAACATTTTTCAGCTCCAGAAGGACGAAGCAGTTGTCAAACACGCCCATCCTGCAACAGAGAGGATGAGAAAAGAAGTTAAACAGGGAACAGATCTCCACCTGTTGCTATAATAATAGGTTTAGTGGTAGAGTAGAAATTGCAGACGTTTCCTCTGAGTTACAGCGACGTGGACAGATTTAAAGTTGCAGGAAATCCTCAAATTTCTACTTTAGCAATTGAGTAAATATCCTTCCATTAAAGCACTGCATGCTGTGATTTATGTTTGTTTTAAGAATGAGACGAAGATGACAGAGAGAGCTGAAGAATGATGCAGCCAGGCTGTGATGATGATGATGATGATGCTCCATCAGCATCACTCAGCTAATACAGTAGCAGCCATTCAAAATGGCCCTTCCCATTTTAAAAGTCAGCGGAATGGCAACAAAATCCCCTCCATCTTCCAGCCACTGGCCTTCTCCTGGACCTGCATATTCTTTTACTATGACTCAACCCTTCAGTTAATTACAGGGTCTGACCAGGAGATGGCGCTTCTCTTTAGATCTTAATGTCCACAAATCATGACAGTAAGAATGTTTTAGATGTTTATAAGGGAATTGTAGGGAACCAGCCAGAGTTTGGATAGATTCTAAGGCTGGTTTTTAAAATGCCTGCCCAAGTTCCAGGAGATCTGAACCACTTCCTGTAGCGGTCATGTGGTACGGCGGTAGCGAGGCTTCGGACGCCTCTGTTTCAGAAACACAAGGATGTCAAAACCAAATGAAAAGGAATGGTGAAGTAAAAATGTGATTTCAAAATGCTGTGGTGTAAATCATTATGAGACAAAAATAAAAACATCTTTTAAAAATGTTGGTGTGAATAAATATGAAAAAATAAAAAAGGTTGCAGTGCAAATACGGAACAAAAAAAAAAAAAAACCCCACCTGACATAAATACACAAAGACAAAATAAAGACAAAATAAAAATGTATAACAGAAAAGAATTGAATTAAAAATAAACTAGAAGAAAAGCAAGAGGAAAAGTAAAAATAAAAGTGTAAGTTAAAATATATATTTTTTTATGAGTAATGGATCAATTGTTGAAGAAATATCTTCTTTTTATAACTTTGTCACATTTAATGGCACATAAATATATATTATTGGCTCATTTTTCAAGCAATTTTATATTATTAAGTCCTTCATTTATTTCTGTAGGTATTTTTAATTATGGCAGGATCGGTCCTCCATAGCTTCCAGCCATGGCGTCCTGCACGAGCATTGGGGGGTCAGGGTACGAGCACAGGGGGGAGGGACTAGCAGGCGACCATGATTGACGTGTCAGAAACCAATAGTGTAAAACAGACCGTCTTTTGTGATTGGTTGGGGTTATTCATTGATTTCTCACTGTAGCGCGGACCATTTATTTTAGTTTCACTTCCAGACCTTCTATTTCAATGCTTGCTAAGCGGCTGTGGGGAGATCTGTACTACATGGTAAAAAAAAAAAAAAAAAAATGCGTCAGAAAAGATCTCCTACTTACGACGGAGTATTAGGGCCATACATGAAGAGAAAAAATATTTTTGCCATGACGAGATTAAACTCGACATGTCGACTTTAAACTCGCCATTTCGAGAATAAAGTTGAAATGTCATGTTGAGTTTAATCTCGACGTGTCGACAATAAAGTTTAAATTAGTTCAAGAGAGCCAACCGCTGCACAGGATACATGCACAGAATCCTATACAGTTGCAGCACGTTAAAGACTACCTTCATTCTTAAAACGCAGACTGAGCTGTGGAGCGCGGTTGCTCTTTTCTCCAAACTTTGGAATGTCGAGATTAAAGTCGCCACGATATATCAACTTTATTCTCGAAATGGCGAGTTTAAAGTCGACACGTCGAGATTAAACTCAACATGACATTTCAACTTTATTCTCAAAATGTTGAGTTTAATGTCGACATGTTGACTTTAAAGTCGACATGTCGAGTTTAATCTCGTCATGGCAAAAACATTTTTTCTCTTCATGTGTGGCCCTAATACTCCGTCGTACCTACTGCACCTTTAAATGGAAAAGGAAAAACAACTGCTAAAATCCCAGATTATGTTACAAACTGTAGTTCTGCCCTCCACCAGTAGGTGGTGACATGTTCACATGGAGCCTCATGAACTGTGGGGATCATTGAAGCAATTTGGCCAAACTGTTCTATGAAGCTTCATCTCAGCATCACTAGATAAAAGGCAAATAAAATAATATATAATATATTTCTGTATCTTTTTAATGGGTTTGTTTTATATATTTCTTTCTTATTATATTAGATGGCCCCATGCCTGTCTTTGCTAAGGGCCCTAAATTTCTTAACTCCGCCCCTGGTCTAAAGTTTATTTAAGCTCCATTATTACAGATTTTTAATAAAAATGGTTTCATGACAATAAAACGAGTTTTACATCGAAATAAAAAATAAAATGACTCATTCTAAACTATATTTTTCAGTTGTCAGAACAAACATAAACATCAGATAAGATCAAATATTTCCAGTAAAATCAGAGTAACTTCTTAGAGAGAAACGCGGAAGTGAAGCTACTTTAAAACCCGCAGAATCTGCAGAAAAGCCGCAGAAACCTCTCAGATCCGCTGCTGTTTCTGCGCATTAAAGCATTAAAAGCTCTGCTTTAAACTCAGGCTGTTTTATTCTTAACTTTTCTAAAATCAAATAAACTTCAGAGAAATATTATTTATCTTTGATTCGCAGTAAAACAGAACAAAATGTTCATATAGTTTGAGTTTTTTACCTGTTTTGATGCAGGAAGTAAAAAGGTTCTTCGCTCTGGAGAAATTTCCCTTTCAGCTGTCAGACAGAAAACGGATGGAGATCCTTCAAAATAAAAGCCCTGAAAACTTCCTGAAGGAGACCTGGAAGCAAAACTAAACGTTATTTATTGTGTCTGTCACCCTTAACTTAATTATCAAAAATCTGCTGTTGAAACAATAAAACAAATGTAAAAGTATTAAAGTAAGCCTGTCCCTTTTTAAGATTATAATTACTCCTATTTTGTGTATTTTTATGTAGATTATCTTTTAAACAAATCATTTTGAAAATTACATTCTATACGCATTAAAGCATCACTGGAGACACTTTTGTCTGGGTTTGTTCATGCTTATTTTCTTTTTAAATTCAATATGTTTCTGTTTTTATTTCCAAATGTGAAGCTGATGATTGAATCTGTTTCTCTGACCGGAAGTGAACTCCTTCATTCACTGTAACTTCACAGGTAATCAGCTGATTTCCTGCTTCTGAGCAAAGTTCCTGTTACTCAGCTGCAGCCCAATGCTGCCCCTAGTGGAAGAAAAGAACAAGTACAAACAGATGACTATTTTTTTTATTTTCTAAATGAAATTTAAAAAATCTTTTATTGTCCCACAGAGAATCCAGATGTGTTGATAGTAAAGAAAAAAGGTAGAAATGATAGAAACAGGTTCACCCATCAATAAAAGACAAAAAATCTATTAAATCTGGAAGAACAACAGCAGAAAACTTTAAATAGATAAAGAAATTTATCTTATGTTGATCTACAGAGAATAAATATAGAATAAAAGCTGCAGGATGATTTTATCTAAAGTTAATAACGGTTTAAGAGACTCTTGCCTGTCATGGTGTAGTGGGGAAAAAGTATTCAACTATTCATCCTATTTAAATAAATGGAGATCTATGGATTTTAATCAGTCGGCTCTTTATTTTCATCTCTGCAAAGAGAGAACGTTTCATCATTCATTCCTTACTGCTCTGTAATCAGCCCTGTTCTGCCTGAGCAGCGTTCGTTCCTCCTTACTTACAATGATGGAAAATAGTCAGAGTCAAAACAAATTACAGACGTTTTGGTTAAACAGTAACATGTTATGAATAAACCTGAGAAAGAATCTGGTTTGTTTTGGGAAGAAGCTACGTCTGCTCTGCAAACATCCTCACACAGGAGAACTGTGTGGCCTTGCAGGTGGAACAGACTGAGTGAAAACTTTTATAGTGAGTTAATGGGATAAATTAATATATGAAATAAAAGAAATCTAAATTTTCTGACCACATGGTTTTCCAGAGAAACAGTTTATATCCGAATAACGACCCAGATGACCAGCAGTGACTATGGAGGAGCTGCAGAGAAGCAGGCAGTAAACTAACTAAACGTGATGTGCTGCATGCGGGTGTCACGATATGAGGATCGTTTTCTTCAGCAGAGATGAGAAAGAAAGTCAGAGTCGATCCTGGAAGGGAACAATTTGCAGCTGCAGCAGCTGAACCTTGATGCACACCAATCTTTCCAGCTTTATTTATTCATATTATTGAGCTCAAATAAAGTTGCTCAGGTTCAGCTCTTATTTTTTTCTAATAGTAAATCCCCCCCCCATCCTGCATCAACATCCAGGACTTTTATTCAGCATTAAAAAAACAACTGGAAGATAAATAAGAAACTAGATGAGTAAATTAAAAGCTCTGGGTAAATAAAGGAAGTCCAGATGTGCATCAACACCTAAACTGCACATCTGGTTCACATGGATAAATATCACAGATACAGAAGTGTTTGAACGCAGCTCAGGTGTGACCGTGCTGAACCCCAGACGTCTCTGAACGCTCACCTTCCTAAACTCTATGAAATAAATATGTTTTATCTTTATTCTGTCTTTTTAATATACTTTACATGTTAAAAATAAATTTAAATCTGTTGCTCTGCAGATCTTAACCTAAAATCATGACGTTTTGTCTTTAAGAAACCATCAAATATTCCTAAAACAAGGAAAACAGCAGCAGGAACAGGAGCAATAAAGAGAAGGGGTTTGTTTTCCAGAATAATTTAATGTCAGCTTTTTCTCATCGACACTGACTGTTTACTTTTCATTCAGAGACAATAAAATCAGAAACAGATTCAATTAAATTCCAGCTGAAAAATAACAGGGAGATACAGGATTGTCTGGTAGGTGATAAAGAAATAAAATGTTTTATGATAAAACCTTAAAAAGAATCAGCAGAGATCAGAAGTTAGAGATGATTTTCCTGCAGAGAACAAAGCAGCAGCTGCTGCTGAGATCGAGTCAATAAAAACTAAACTCTCTGCAGCAAAACAAAAAAATAAAAACGCTCAAAATGCATGAAGTGATTCTTCTTAAATTAATGCTGAAAGAAAAAATTAAAACTTTGAAAAAAAAGTTTTTGTGAGCAACTTTGCTGAATTCCCAGACTTCATTTTGCTATTTTAGTTTTTGTATTTTAAAATTTTTTTTTTTTTAGTTTCCTCTTATTTTATCATTTTTAATTCTTTTAATTTGTCTTTCAGATTAAGTTTTTATTAACTGAGTGACGAATAAAGACACATTTCTGTTTGTCTGAAGTAAAGAATCTGTAAAAAACAATCAAAAAAAATTTGGAAAAAACGAAAAACTAAAACCTGTAAAAAAAAAAAAACTTGAAACTTTTCTTTTTTTTTTTTAAATAAATAAGAATGTGGAAAATAAATTTGGGAAAAAGAGCAAAGTTTGTCAAAAAAAACTTTCCAGATTAAGAAGTTTTTTCAAGGTTTAATTTCTGGATGATATGTTTTTTTATTTTTTTATTTCTATTTATAGAATGTGTTCTTTGCAACAATGACGAAACCAAATTCCCCCCATAGACCATGCTAAAACATATCTGAATATTTACATGTAAAAAAAAAAACGAGCATCAATAGGAGACAGAACCTGAAATGCAAGACCTTAAATCATCTACAGGTAAAAATAATCCAGTGTTTGATAATCCCCCCCCCCCAATAAGAGCAGCTTCCAGGTCAGAACCTCCGATTTATTGAGCAGAACCTCAGAGACGCTCAGTACCAGGGTCTAACTGCTCGTTTAGACCTTTAGCAGCAGACAGGGATTATCGGATTAGAAGCATCTGATCCGACACTGAAATCTGTTTAATCTGCCTGGAAGTTTCTCCTCTTTAAACCCTGACATCTCCCCTTTTAATCTCTAACATGAACAAACGAAACATTAAAACTGTGGCTTTAAAATATTCACAGCGACCGAGCAAAAGTCCGGTTTCTCCTTGTGTTCGGCCTGAAGCGGACGATCGAGGATCAGGCAAATTAAAAACATGCTCATGTTCTGAGAGCAGAGATCATATTTACAGACGCAGCCGAGGAAAAGTCAGAGGAAAGGAATAAAAAGGCGGGAGGAGGGGAAGACAGCGGGACGGCTGGAGGTTCAACCCCACAGATCCTCGGTGCGGCCGAACTTGTAGACCAGAGAGCTGCAGAGAGAGACGGGACATCAAAACCAGGAACCGACGGAAAAACGTAAAGCTTTAAAAGTCCTGCTAAAGAAGTTAAACATCATCCGACTCCGAGGTTTGAACCTTTTCAATCAGAGCTGAGCTCACCTGAAGAAGATCAGGGCGTTCTGAAAGAACACAGCCAGACCAGGAGCCACTTCCTTCTCTGAAAAAAGAAAACCAGCAGCATGAATAACTTTAGAGACAGTTGCTGAACGTGATGTCATCAACCTGAGAACCCGGGAACCAAACCCAAATTACAGATCTAACCTAATAAACGGCAAAGATGCTTCTGAATGGAGCTGATTGTTTAAACATCACAGTGTCATCAGCATAGAATGGAAGTTCCATCAGAATATTTGGTGTTTGAATCTGAGGAACCAGAAACTGGATCCCTGAGGAACTCCTTTAAACGTGAAGAGTTTGTTTTTCAGAGCCCAGCAGCTCTACAC